TGGCACCAGGAGCGTCAAGAAAGAATAATTTCCCACAGTTAGAAGCATCACAATTTAATATTTTCTCGTAGGCTTCTTTCTGTTCTATATTTAATTTTAAAACATTTACTGCAACTTCTGCGGTAAGCTGATCTGTGTCGTAAGCCAATTCACTTAGATATTGATGGTTGTTAATAACAGTCCCTTGTTCTCGTGATGGTGAAATGAGTCCAAATTGTGACAAAGTTTTATCTGACATAGCAATGACCATATCTTCAAGAAGAATTAGGCATTGATTATAAATAATGTCAAGAACCAACTTAACGTTTTCTTGTTCTCTGCTCATTTGTCTTCTAATGTCTTCCGCAAAAGTCTCTGTATTTTTCCCACAATTTAATTGGATCTCCAACTTGAGACCTTCCAGACTACGTAAAATCATAAGTGTTACATATGGTTGAACTCGTATTGAATAGGAGATTCCAATAATGACTGTATATACAGGGTGATGAATTTGAAAAACCAAAGTGAATAATATAAGCGAAACGGCAAATCTGGCAACATTGCAAATATTAAATCTGGAATCTCCGTATCCCAAAATATGTGTATCACAAATTTTGTACAATTAGGATTAGGAATCTACAAGATAATTGGCCGTTTCCAGACTTTTGGGTCACTCCGTATAGATTTAACGAGGATTTGTTCTGTGATTTTAAAGTGTTAAACATGAAGAAAAAATAGTTTTATTTAGATAGATTTATTTATTAATTAGGAACCCTTACAATATACAATTGCTAAAATTTTTCTATAACTAAATGGCAGGTATTATTTAAATGGGAATTAAAAATAAAAACTAATTCAAGGTTACTTTCAAAAAAATAAAACTAATTATAAAATGAATTCTTATAATATGTAAAAACAAGAAACAACAAATTATAACAAATACTCAAAACGATCACCGCCGTGAGCAGAACAATAACCAAGTCTATTATAAAAATTTACCCTTACGTTGGAGAGCATTGCAGGGCTAATACCTCTCAACGTATCGTGGATGCGAATTCTCAACTCATCGAGATTCCTAGCCCTCTCCTCTTGAAACTCATACAATTTACTTTTTATATATCCTCTTAAAAAAAAGTCGCATGGAGCTAGATCAGGCGATCTAGCTGGCCATGGAATATATTCGTCCATATCGCGAAATTCCGTAATCAAACGACCCGGGAATAATTTCGATAAATATTCCTTTACGAAAATGGAATTATGTGCCGGACATTCATCCTGTTGGAACCAAATTGAATGGAATGGTACGTCCAAAGCACGCACTGCGGGAATGATATCGTTATTCAGCAATTGTAAATACGTTTGGGCATTGAGGATGCCATCAATAAAAAATGGCCCCACAATATTGTCTCCCAGTATTCCCGCCCATACATTTAATTTTTGTGGGTACTGTACTGTATGATGTTGATTTTCCCTCGTCCAATACCAACTAATAGATGGATTATGTACTGAAAATGACGATTCGTCGGTGAAAAGAATGTTCTTAATAAAATTTTCATCGGCGTTCGCCATTTCCATCACTCTTTCACAAAACTCCATTCGAAAATATTGGTCGTCGGGAAACATTTCATCAGCTCGATGAATTTTAAAACTTCTATAGCCATTCGTCTTTAAAATCTCACTGACCCTCACATGGGAAATGTCGTATTCTCGAGCAAGATCCCTTGTTGTTCGAGTCGAGTCTTGTTCTACTGCAGCGCAGATCATTATATCTCGCAGTTCGTGATCCGGATTTATCGGCCTACGAGGTACCTCTGGTTCCTTCCCTCGATTCGTTCGTGAAAAACAACCATGTGCGCGGAGATTTTCCATAATACGCTCGATTATAGATCGTGTGGGTTGTGGTCTATTTTGAAACATTTTGTGAAACATGGTTATAATTTGAGGAACACTAAAGCCGTTATTGTGCCAGACAACAATTTGGAAATATTCCTCGTTCGTATAAGAAGGGTTGGCATTGGTTAAAACGTTTACCATATATGTATCACTGTTGGATGGTGGCTTTGACTTTTTCTTATAGTGAGTTTTTAAATGTTGTTTTAAGTTAGATTGCTGATTAAATTCTTTGGAACAAATGTCACACTTGAATGTCTTAGAATGAGTCATTAAATGTTCCGTTAATTGAGATTTAATGTAAAATTCATTTGAACAAATGTCGCACTTGTATGGCTTATCGTCAGTATGAAGTAATAAATGTCCCTGTAAGCTTTGTTTACGTTTAAATTCTTTGGAACAAATGTCGCACTTAAATAGTCTTTCGTTAGTGTGAATTATTAAATGTTGCTTTAAGTTAGATTTCCTATTAAATTCTTGGGAACAAATGTCACATTTGTAAAGCTTTTCCTTGGAGTGAATTATTAAATGATCATGTAAGTTGTGTTTATGTTTAAATTCTTTGAAACAAATGTCACATTTGAATGGTGTTTTTTTAGAATGAATTATTAAATGCCTGTTTAAACTACTTTTATAAAGAAACTCTTCGAAACAAATGTCACATTTGAATGATGTTTCTTTAGAATGAATTATTAAATGCTTGTCTAAACCATTTTTTTGAACAAATTCTTTGAAACAAATGTCACATTTGAACGGCGTTTCTTTAGAATGAATTATTAAATGTTTGTTTAAACTATTTTTATAAAGAAATTCTTTGGAACAAATTTCACATTTAAACAGCTTCTCATTAGAGTGAATTATTAAGTGTTGGGTTAAGCCAGATTTGTTATTAAATTCTTTGGAACAAATTTCACATTTGAATAGCTTTTCATTAGAGTGAATTTTTAAATGACTGGTTAAGCCAGATTTGTGATTAAATTCTTTAGAACAAATTTCACATTTAAATAGGTTTTCAGTAGTGTGAATTAGTAGATGAATTTGTAAGTCCAGATTTCCTTTAAATTCTCTGGAACAAATGTCACATTTGAATTGTTTTTCATTAGAGTCAATTGTCACATTATTTGATAGTTGAAGATCGCTAGATTGCTTCAAACACAAATGTTTTTCAAATTGTCCTTCGTCGATTTGTTTTGATCCTGATTGCGAAGATGGATAATCTGTAATCATAAAGAAAAACACTTCAAATAATCGTTGACTCAATGAGATCGTTATAATTTTTGACGTATTTTTGTCTTTCTATATTTGCAACTTTAAAAATAATGATTGTTTAAAACTATATGTTAGCAGGTAAACAAATTTTTTTGTGATTACTCATTGTAATATAATGTAAAGAACATTGACAGTCAAGAGTGGGGGGTGCGGGAAATGATGGCGGTAGTAGCGAACCGTCGATTGCACCCTCCCAGGCAGAATGAAATGATGGGTCGCCTTGAGTGCCATAATTATTGAAAATTGTTATTATCAGAAGTGGGATTCGCTCACTAAAAGTACCACAGAAGTGCCTGGGGATTGACTGTTCCTGTGAGTATTTCCAAGATTATTGATTCGTTACATTCATCAATTGATTGATTGTTTGAGATTGTTATTGGCCATATTGGCGACTGTCCTTTTTTTGTGTTCATTCGTTAAAGGACCCCGCACTTTTAACATTGATTTTGGGTACTGACAGAATTTATTCAAATGTTAGTATGTTATTTTTCAGGTCATTACCGGCATCTTTCTTATGGACCTCAAGTTTGCAGCTCTACAGGGTGAGCTGTTAGAAGGAGTTAAAAGTATGAAATACAGAATTATTATTTTCATATATATCCCTTACGGTGGCCCAAAAAAAAACGAACATTTTTTTTATTTAAGTCTCCTATGAAAATATGTTAGTTTATCATGTTTTAAGAGCCCCCTCCAAAGGACAGCTCAAAAAAAAATTTTAAAAAGTGTCGCTCCGAATTTTTAAAAAATTCCAAAATAGTCGAAAACCGGATTTTAAAATATTTGTACATTTGACAGTTGTTCTTTGTTTTTATATATATATATATATATATATATATATATATATATATATATATATATATATATATATATATATATATATAGTTTATATTGTTTTTAGTTTGTTTTTTGGCTTACCTTTAGTACATTTTATGGGGTGTGTAATTAATATTTAAATGTTATTATATCCTTTTTTTATTATTCTGTAATTGAATTTTTGTCATTTTTGTCATTTTCGTGTCCGGTATTTGATGCTGAGTTATCCGTTATTAATTTCTTCGATAGTCAGGGTGTTGTTACCCCCTTTTTTACGTTTTCGGGCCCTCATAAAGGTCCGGAAATTGAAAAATTTTACTTGGTTTTTTTTTTGGGATTTTACTTTGCTATGCAACTACCATGCGGTTCGAGATTTATCAAGTGACAAGGTTGAAAATTATTTAATTTTACATATGTCATTTCTTCTTCTTTTATTTTTTTTGTTTTTTTGGTCTTTTATAGTTTGGTCTATTAAAAGGTATATAAGGAGATGAGACCTATTGATTGTGAAAACAATCTGCTTAAAAATGGGGGTTAAGGGGGTCTGTTAAACTTCGATGAGTATCATTTAAAATGTCAGGCATTATATATCTTTATTCTAGTTTGTATCTGAGTATTATGTATTGTGATGGGACTGAGCTTATAAAATAAACATTTAAAACATTTTAGTTCTTTTTTTATTTGCCAATAAAAGGTATTTAAAAAATATATTTTTTATTTGACATCTGTGACAAATTGTGAAAATGATTAAACTTACAATAAAAACTAAAAAATGGTAGGTAAAGTTTCATATAAAATTTTTTACACAAAAATGTAAAGCTTTCTACATAACCTGATATATATTTAAAAATAATCTCAAATTATGAAGAGAAGTCAGTTTACTAACTAATAATGTTTATAGATGGTTTTCAACGTATTAAAAACAAAACAAATACCACACTAACAAAAATATTCATTTATTAATAGTTGTAGTGTTTGAAAACAGTATGATGTTGATAATAATAACTACACTTAATACAAACTCAAATAATAATAAAAAACAGCGATATTGACTATTGCACAAAGTTTTGATCCGAACTTACATATGATAAAATTATTGGAAAAAGTGAACACCCATTTTAAATTATTACGAGCCGCCAGCGTTCGGGACACACTGTATAGTTCAGTATTTGACGGTTTTTCGATCTGCATTCTTCTGGATTAAATGGATTGGCGTGAAATTTGGATAGTAATTAAGGAATGACTCAAGAAAGAAAAGTTATACAGGGTGTACCAATAAAAAATTCTAGGCCGGATATTATGGAAAGGAAATGAATCTCACTCTACAAGAAAACATACACAAGTATAATTTTAGTATAATTTATTTACTAAAAAGGATACAGTAAATGTTGATAAATGAAAACCAATAAAATAATAGGAACTGAGCGTTGACTCTTATTTATTATTATTCTTTTAAAATAAACTGATACAATCTATAATATAAACAATAAATAAAAATGAGAAAAACATAGATAACAACTAATGTTTTATATATTTGTGGTTTCAGTTGCAAGAAACTAGGTTGAATTATTTTGGCTTTTTTAAGATATATAAATAATTTTGCAAACAAAACGAAAATAATGAAATGGGCATGACAACAGCGTATATTATACCCGCCTGTGTCCCTTATTAAGGATCGCACGATATTTGTTTGTCGTTACATCTCTTCTTGTTAACTCTGTAGTATGTACAACAACATTATTATCTGATGCTCTATATATTTTATAATTTTGGAAAATTTTAATTTCAAGACCCTAAGCGAAAAAAATGTTTCGTGTTTTCTCCAAATAAGTTTATGGGGACATGTTTGATTTTGCATGAACGCTCCTCAAATGTAAACACAAGAAACAACAAGTTACAACAAATACTCAAAACGACCACCACCGTAAGAAGAACAATAACCAAGCCTATTATAAAAATTTTCCCGTACGTTGGAGAGCATCGCAGGGCTAATACCTCTCAACGTATTGCAGATGCGAATCCTCAACTCATCGAGATTCCTAGCCCTTTCCTCTTGAAACCCATACAATTTACTTTTTGTATATCCTCTTAAAAAAAAGTTGCATGGCGCTAGATCAGGCGATCTAGCTGGCCATGGAATATGTCCGTCCATACTGGGAAATCCCACAATCAAACGACCCGGGAACAATTCCGATATATATTCCTTTACGAGAATGGAATTATGTGCCGGACATTCATCTTGTTGGAACCAAATAGAATGAAATGGTACGTCCAAGGCACGCACTGCGGGAATGATGTCATTCTGCAGCAATTGCAAATAACTTTGGGCATTGAGAATGCCATCAATAAAAAAAGGTCCCACAATGTTGTCTCCCAGTATTCCCGTCCATACATTTAATTTTTGTGTACGGGCATCGTAAGTACGTTGTTGATTTTCCTTAGTAAAATTCCAACTAATAGATAAATTATGTATTGGAAATGACGACTCGTCGGTGAAAAGAATGTTCCTAATAAAATTTTCATCGGCGTTGGCCATTTCCATCATTCTTTCACAAAACTCCATTCGAAAATATTGGTCGTCGGGAAACATTTCATCGGCTCGATGAAGTTTAAAACTTCTATAGCCGTTAGCTTTTAAAATCTTATTGATTTTCATATGGGACACGCCAAATTCTCGAGCAAGATCCCTAGTTGTTCGAGTTGAGTCTTGTTCAACTGCAGCGCAGATCATTATATCCCGCAGTTCGTGATCCGGATTTAATGGCATGCAAGGTACTATTACCACTGGTTCGTTTCTACCATTCGTTCCGGAAAAAGATCCATGTGCGCAAAGATTCTCCATAGTACGCTCGATTATAGCTTGTGTTGGTTGTAGTTTATTTGGAAACATTTGTTGAAACATGCTTATAATTTGAGGAATACTATAGCCAGTATTGTGCCAGACAACAATTTGGAAATATTCCTCGTTCGTGTAAGAAGAGTTGGCATTAGTTAATCCGTTTCCTGTAGGTGCAACATACTTTACTGGTTTTGACTTTACAATGAATACCTTCCTATCATTGTGAGTTAATAAATGGCTTTGTAAGGTAGATTCCTGATCAAATTTTTTGAAACAAATGGTACACGTGAATAGATGAATTGTTAAATGTTCCCTTAAATGAGATTTAGCGCGAAATCTATTTGAACAAATATCGCATTTGAATGGCTTAGTATGAATTTTTAAATGATTTATTAAAGCGGCTTTATTTTTAAATTTTCTGAAACAAATGTCACACTTGAACGGTAGATCATTAGTGTGATTTATTAAATGTTTATCTAACTTAACTTTTTCATTAAATTCTTTGAAACAAATGTCACACGTGAATAGATTAGAATGAATTATTAAATGTTCCCTTAATTGTGATTTAATGTGAAATCTATCTAAACAAATGTCGCACTTGAATGGCTTTAAGTCAGTATGAATTTTTAAATGAGTTTGTAAGGCGGCTTTACGTTTAAATGTTTTGGAACAAATATCACACTTGAACGATTGGCCATTATTGTGAATTATTAAATGTAGCTTTAACTTAAGTTCCATATTAAATTCTTGAGAACAAATGGCACACTTAAATGGCGTTTTATTAGTATGACTCATTAAATGATCCTGTAAGACATTGTTATGATTAAATCTTTTAAAACAAATGTCACACTTAAATGGCCTTTCATTAGAGTGAATTATTAAATGTTTGTCTAAGTTAAATTTGTGAGTAAATACTTTGGAACAAATTTCACACATAAATTGTCTTTCATTAGAGTGAATTTTTACATGTTTGGTTAAACCAAATTGGTAATGAAATTCTTTATAACAAATTTCACACTTGAATGGCTTTTTAATAGTATGGATTATTGAATGATCAATTAAGCTGCGCTGGTGATTAAACTCTGTGAAACAAATATCACATTTGAATGACTTTTTATTAGTATGAGATATTAAATGTCTCTGTAAGCAGCCTTTACGTTTAAATTCTGTCAAACAAATATCCCATTTGAATGGCTTTTTATTAGAGTGAACTATTAAATGTCGCCTTAAGTTTTGTTCTATATTAAACTCTTTGAAAAAAATGTCACACTTGAATTGTTTTCCGCTGGACTTCTTACAACACACATGTTTCTTATATTGTCCTTCGTAGATTTGTATTGATCCTAATTGCGAAGATGAATAATCTGTAATCATAAATAAAAACACTTGAAATAATCGTCGACTTAACCTTCGGGCAGGCGCAGACTGGGATTTAATCGCATTTTTCTGGCAAAAAATAAGAATTTACAATTTTAAAATATTTTATTTTGAACTAAGGTATTTTAAGAAATACATATAGGGCTAACCGGATGTGTGAAATATACAGTTTTAAAATAATAAATGTGCCTATTATTTCAGTCTTCTTTCAAACGTTTTGGGGTACAGGAGTGTGAACGTTTGTTTATCTTTTAGTACTTTCTGACAGTGATATGAGTTGTTTGCTTTTATTAAGAATAATTTTTTAGTATGAATGCCGTTCCATGTCTTAAGTATTACATAAATTACTAATTTTTTTTTTAAAAACTTAAATCATATTTTTTTCAAATTTAAAATATTGAAATGTGTGTCAATATATGGCAAAATTATGTGAAGTTTCTTTAAAATATTAATTTATAGTGATGTTCTTAATCAGTCTAAAGTTAATTTGATGACTAACGATTCCTTGAATCTTTATAATGATGCTTAAGCATAAAAATTTTCCGCTTTTTTGCGTTGTAATATAATTGTCATTATATTAGTCGCAATATTATACTCTATAAAAATGTATTAAGGTCGGGTTCACACTATGCGTAATTTTTAGCAACCGTAAAATACGTATGCGCATTACCGACAAGAGTTGTGTGTTCAACAGTGGCAGCTGGTGACCAATATTTTGAGGGTTTACAATGACAGAATATAGATCTCAGAACATATGTACTTATATCTAGATTCTGTCATTGTGAACCCCCAAAATATTGGTCACAAGCCATCAATGGTGTTCACATTGTCCGTTCACATTCTGCGTTAATATGTGCGTTCAAATTGTGCAGATTTTGTGCGTATTTATTTTTTGGTGATCGTCAATTTGTATAGAACAGTGTGAACACTCGCCTTGCCCAAAATACGTAGTCGAAATACACATCTGCCGAATACGCATAGTGGATCCGTATCAGTGGCGACTCGGGACCAAAATATTGGGGTTCACAATGACAGAATATAGGTCACACTGAAAGTTTTCTGTAACGTTATAAATAACGTTTCAGTTATTTCTGCAATATTACCTACATTTAATAATTATACCCTCCTAGGAAAAATATTTCGTCATGCCGCTGGTGCGAATATCTCGTTTGTGTTTTAACCCCCCCCCCCCCCCCATCCTTCGTAAAAGCCAATGAATTGGCTTTTGTGCACGATCGGACAATGCAATGAATATTCTCGTCCTTTTCGTGGTGTGACTTCGAAATATCAACTTCTTTGTTTTTGTGAATACTGCTTGATGACTAAAGGTATTTATTTAATTTATTTAGTTAATTAGAACTGCATCATCAGTGATTACAGGTTCAACATTTCGTTTGTAGATTATTACGTGAGTTCCACGGATTGTTTTGGGTTGATAAACGTTAAAATTCTCTTTGGTTTTTATACTGCATGCCATTAAAAGTGGCCATTTTAGATTTTTTATACGAGGATGAGATGAAAAGTTTCCGGTCTAACCTATAGTAGGCCCGATTTGTTTTCCTGTTCCAACGTGCCTGTATAGCCTTGCTTGTCGTCAGTATACGCTCGAAGTTTAAAGTGAGTGCGTCAAGTAGTTTGTGTCCTGGGTATTTTAAAAGCTTATAAAGTGGGCCACTTTTAAAAGATGGAAAAAAACGAGATAAGAGCGGTGATAAAATATTTCCATATCAAAGGATTATCGCCGACGGAAATAAAAGCTGAACTAGATGCTACACTAGGGGAATCTGCTCCTTCATTTACCACAGTTAAAACCTGTGTAGCGGACTTTAAACGTGGTCGTACTAGCACTGATGATGCTCCGCGTTCTGGCAGGCCAGAAACGGCAACTTCTGAAGAAATGGTGCAAACCGTTCACAAACTAATTCTAAAAGATCGCAGATTAAAATTGGAAGAGGTAGCCGAGGCGGTGGGCATATCAAAAGAACGAGTTCACTATATTTTGTGTGAAGTTTTAGGTATGAGAAAGCTATCCACCCGATGGATGCCGCGTTTGCTCACGTTATATCAGAAGCTCACGCGGCTAACCATTTCAGAGGAGAATTTGGCACTGTTTAGACGTGATCCAGGGGACTTTCTGCGTAGATTTATTACGGTTGATGAAACATGGGTTTATCATTATACCCCTGAAACTAAACAACAGTCCAAACAGTGGACGATAAAGGACGAACCAGTTCCAAAGAAGGCAAAGGCAGTACCGTCTGCTGGAAAGGCCCTGGTTTGGCAAAAAAGAAAATTCTGTTTCATCAGGACAATGCACCTTGTCACAAGTCCGTTCTTGTAATGGCTAAAATTCATTAGCTAGGCTTTGAACTGTTAAATCATCCTCCGTATTCGCCAGACCTAGCCCCGTCAGACTTTTATTTGTTTCCAAACCTAAAAAAAAATTTCTTTCTGGCAAAAAAATTTCCACAGATTTAGAAGTAATTTCAGCCACAAACGCCTATTTTGACGAGTTGGATAAATCAGACTACAGTGACGGTATTAAATCGCTTGAACATCGTTGGGTCAAAGGTATTACCCTACAAGGGGACTATGTAGAAAAATAAATTCTTATTCAGTCACTGTTGCGTTCTATGTTAGGCCGGAAACTTTTCATCAAATCCTCGTATATCTAGATTTTTTGTTCTTTTCCATCTTTTAACAAGGTAACTGAATACTGTTGCGAATCTAATTAATCACTGCAATTTTAAGAATTGTTGTATATTAAAAGTACTTATTTTGTACTTTCTTTTGTGTAACACATGTTAAGAGATGGAAAGGTTTTTTTATTACTAACTGACACCGCGTTTTTTGTTTCTTTATTCTAAAGAGGAGAGGTGACCGGCCTATATTTAAAGAAGAGAGCGGCAAATACATAAAAAGTAAAGCGGCTACAAAAAGAAGTGACCAGCCTATATAAAAAGTAGTACCTTCTCAGCAATTGAGCCGCGCAAAAAAGGGATACCGGCCTGGAGAAGATGAATACCAGCCAGCTTGTATTGAGAAGAAGTCTATAGGGAAAACATAACAGAAGTATCTTCTCATCAACGGCTTAGTGAAGGCCATAACTCCTCGACCCTCAACCCAAGTCAGCTGTCAGCCAGTAATACGAACATTTGTTTTACCAAAGAAAATCGTTAAAATCACTCTTAATTTAATGAGATTTTTAACATTTGTTGTTTTGATATAATTATTTCATTAAAAAATTGTTAAGTGTCTGCTGTTAAAATTAAAGTCACTATATTTTAATTTCACTCTTTGAATGTATTCCTTACTTTTAACTAGTAAATTAATGTCATTGTTAAGAGTGAGATTATAGGCCCTTTTGACTGACCCTAAAGTCCACTCTTAGCGGTAACCACGGATTATATAGAGGGGCCCAATTTGTATTTAATTTGGCCTCTAGATAACACACGGCTAGGGGTTAAGTTCAGAAGGGATGGGCCTAAGGAACCCTAACTTCCTGACGATGATTCAGAGGGTGGTGAAAGGGTTTGCCCTACAGGGACTATTCCCTTTGGCAGTATCTCTCCCTCTCAGAAATCTGACTAAGTCAATACCCCAACCTTTGAATGATCGTGAGCTTTCATAAATCAAAAAAATTGAAAAAACAAGCCTAAAACAAATAACTGTGATTTATTTAACAAATATAGAAACAACTAGTATTGCTTCAGCAATTTAGTAGTCTTTGCTGACTACACAAAACTAAATATTACTACTCAAAATTATTTACTTACATGATATTATGACTTACATTATATTTTAATCCGTTAGGCTGCAGGGCTGGCTGAGGCACACGTTACTTTTCCCACTGTGCGGCTTTACAAAAAAAACTAACCGTGATTTCGCGTGACCGACCCGTGATTCTACTTTCCGACACAAAAAAAGGAATTCACTTAATACCAATGATTATTAATTTTATTTATTTTTATTTATTTTCATTTATTTTCATTCATTTTTATTTATTTTCATTTATTTTCATTTATTTTCATTTATTTTCATTTATTTTCATTTATTTTTATTTATTTTCATTTATTTTCATTTATTTTCATTTATTTTCATTTATTTTCATTTATTTTCATTTATTTTCATTTATTTTCATTTATTTTCATTTATTTTCATTTATTTTCATTTATTTTCATTTATTTTCATTTATTTTCATTTATTTTCATTTATTTTCATTTATTTTCATTTATTTTCATTTATTTTCATTTATTTTCATTTATTTTCATTTATTTTCATTTATTTTCATTTATTTTCATTTATTTTCATTTATTTTCATTTATTTTCATTTATTTTCATTTATTTTCATTTATTTTCATTTATTTTCATTTATTTTCATTTATTTTCATTTATTTTCATTTATTTTCATTTATTTTCATTTATTTTCATTTATTTTCATTTATTTTCATTTATTTTCATTTATTTTCATTTATTTTCATTTATTTTCATTTATTTTCATTTATTTTCATTTATTTTCATTTATTTTCATTTATTTTCATTTATTTTCATTTATTTTCATTTATTTTCATTTATTTTCATTTATTTTCATTTATTTTCATTTATTTTCATTTATTTTCATTTATTTTCATTTATATTCATTTATATTCATTTATTTTCATTTATTTTCATTTATTTTCATTTATTTTCATTTATTTACATTTATTTTCATTTATTTTCATTTATTTTCATTTATTTTCATTTATTTTCATTTATTTTCATTTAATTTTCATTTAATTTTCATTTATTTCTATTTTTATTTATTTTTATTTATTTTTATTTATTTTCATTTATTTTTATTTATTTTTAGATACTGAGATACAGCTCTTTGGCTTAGGAGGACAGAGTAGAGCACATCGGTTTTTAATGTTTTTTAAACAACCATGTCATATTTTAGGCAATTCTCAGGCTCTTAAGATATTACCGAGGATATTACAAAATAAAAAAA